CCCGGTTGTTAAGTGAATCTGGCTCCCCCATTGACTTTGCTTGTCAGGTCACAAAAAGGGATCCCATGACCCTGGGACATTGTAACGGGTCGTAAGTGTGAACCAGTTGCCAAGCATATGAATATTGATCACAAGGGGCTGCTATAAGTGTGAAAAATGGTCATGTCACTTTTTACAGTGCCATTGTAACTGATTGGTTACTAAATGAACTGTTGTAAGTTGAGGATTACCTACACATTCTTTCCATGCCCTAAACACACAATCTAACCATGATGCAGTTCATTTTTCAGGATTTTCCCCTTTAAGGGACTCTAGGTGAGCTCCAGGTAGGCCTTGGGAAAGGTAATGTAACTTGATTCTCATCCCTACTGATACTTCAGAGACTTGGGAGTTTGATCTGGTAGCCTGATACTCAGCCTGGTAGCAGGTTACCCATACATGCCTGTTTGCGTTTGGAGATACTTGTAAACCTCAAAGATCTTACCACATGTGAGAACCATTGTGAGGGATAGGGTCTTTCAGAGCATAGTTTTGTATTTTTTTTTCCAAATTGGCAATTTTAAACAAGATTTCAAACTTCCCCAGTTGGCTGGAGAATTCTGGGAGTTGAAGTCCACCCAGCTTAAAGTCACCAACTTTGAAAAATCTCTCCCATGGGCAGAAACTTAATTTTTGTTGCAATTTTTTAAAAAAACCAGTTAGTAGAGGCGCTGGTCACCAATGCTTCTGACCACGACCAAATTGGGTTCCCGACCAAAAACAAATCACTTTCAATTTTTATTTTTTGCCAATTGCATTTGTATTATTCATCTAGCAACCGTTAAGCCACCATTAATCGGTAACACGTGTCTTGTTTTTCCTGGATTTCAACTTCTAGATTTGAAACGTTGGCAACCCAACGTCATCATAATGGTGCATAGGGCACAGCGTGCCTTACCGTATCTGTCCTAATAATTCCCTTGTATTCGTATTCATTTCATGTATTCATAATCATGTCTATACCTATATCTGTTATTTAATTCATGCTTGACGAAATAGATAAGAATGATAGATTAAGATAGAGAGATAGACAGATCCCCACGGGGGGTGTTGAACCTAAAAAAAAGCAATTCCAACTATTTTAATAACACACTTTCATTTTCAATCCTGCGGGGGGGAACTCCCCTTCCTTGCGGATACCCGCCCCCCCCATCCCTTTGGTTGGAAGGGGTGATGGTGGCGGTTTAAGCAAGGTCTTTTTATCTGCTACTCTCCAGAAGTTCGGCCGGGTCAGAAATATTTAATTTTTTTTTCCTAAGGAGCCTCGAAAGGAGAGCCCAGCTGGAAGGCAGCAAGAAAAGCAGAGGATAGGGAAAGATCGATGCTGGTTCTTGCACAGCGCGCCTCTCCATCAAGGGCGCAATCCCCAAACGCAGCCATACAAACCCACACACGATTCTCCCCGCCGCCCTCAGGCCGATCTCGCCTCTCCGCTCAACCCAGCTGGCTTCTTCATTCCCTCCCCCGCCTTTCGCTTCTCAACCCCCACAACTGCAAGCAGCGGCCGGTTGGGAACTGCAGCAAACGAGGAGGGGGAGGGATAGAAGTCCGCAAGCCGCTTGGAGAGCCTCCCCCAAGTTGGGTAAAGGCTCTTCTGCCTCTCCGAAGCCAGAGATCCAAGCCTGCTCCCGGGCTTTCCTCTTCGACCTTGCCGGCGTCCTGCGCTGGCTCGGAAACGCGCGATCCCCGAAGCGATCGCGCCCTAGCCCGCCCTGCCAGATCCCCGATCGTTCCAGTTCCTGGGCCGCCCAGATCCAGAGGCTGCCTCCTCCTCCTCCCCGCAAAAGCCTCCACCTCTTCGGGTGGCGCCTCTCCCAATCCGGTCGGGCCAGAAAAGCCAAACAAGGAGGGTAGCTCGCCTTCCTCTCCTCCTCGCGCCTCCCTCTCTGCGTCGAGGGCTGGGCCGCTTCTCCCTCTTTCTTTCCTTTTTCCCTCCCCCCCCTCTCTCTCTTTCTTTCGCTCCTTCCCTCCGGGCTTGGCGGGTCCAAAGATTTTCCCTGGGACGGGCTCCCCTCCGTTTTTTCTCTCCTTTGCTTCTTGCTGGCGCTGTTGCTGGAAGCGCCAAGAAAGAGGCGAGATTGCAAATGAAAGCTTCCTCCCGTTCCCACCGCCGCCCCACGTTGGAAAGTGAGGAGTGGGGGGCGCCTCGACCCCTTTGAGAAGCAGAGCGGTCCCGGCGCGTCGAGAACGCGCCTTTTTCGAAAGGAGAAAAGTTGGTCCGGAGACCTTCGCGCGCACTTGCGCGCTCCCGCCCCGGTTGTGTTGTCTGTGCGTTTGTCGATCAGGTGGGTCACAATACCGTGGGGCCTCTTCTAGCTGCGGGAGGGGGGTTGTGGATAGGGAGGAGGGGTCTGCCTATTTGGGGGTGGGGAATTGGTGATTGGGGGGTTAAAGCTTCGTGGGTATCGATCCTTTGATTCGATGCGCGGACGAGGAAAGGGAGGCTGTTCCTTCCAGGTTTGAATTGGGGGGGAGGGGAAGGGGGTTGGATTGGAGAAGGGAGGGGGGCTAAAATCGCCCCCCCCTCGAAGCTTGCTCAGGATGGCCAATTCAGGCCTGAAAAGGCAGTTCCAGCAAGCGCAGGATGCTATAAATAGATCATATAATATCAGTCCGCCAGCACCCCACTCCATTTTTCATTCATTGCTGAGCTCAAAACATTTTCTCCACTTGGAAGTTGAGTGTGCAAATTCCAGGTAGGGGTG